TTATCGTGTGTGAAGTTCATTATTCATTGTTAGGTAAGTTACACATGCTTGATAATTTTTTTTTTTGAGTTTAGAACACTAAATATAAATAGTACGCTGGTAATTTTTTTGATAACGATTTTCGTTAATCATTTTCATTACTTCAACACTAACAATTGTTTGGATGTTCTTTTGTTATTATACCAATTTATTTTTTGTTGAACTATGGGATATTTAAATATTATGTGATCTCATTCTTATTTTTTTAATAAAAAAAATTTCTTATCATCATTTGATTTGATAAAGTATATAATCATAATTATATTTTTAATGGGCGTTATTCGTTTCATCATTAAGCGCCGATCACTTTGCATAATAATACTATAAAAATGTAATACGTACCGAACCGATTGAAATTTTTATCCAATTAATGCCAACTATACACAAATGATTAATTGATATAAAATTATTTATTTACCTTTATTTACAAAACGAGAATCTTCCTCTGAACCACAAACGCGGATACTATAAAGCAACTCACAAAATAGTTACAGCTATATTATCTAAGTCGTTTATTATAATTTAACGAGTACGAGTTATAGTTTATCTACACGATAATGCGTCTATTTTGTCTAGTTATGGTTGGGAAAATTTTTAATAAGCATGGAGGCATTCTGTCAATTTCACCTAGTCATTCAGATTTTTATAAACATTTATACGAACTTAGAAACATTCTTATACTCTATCAACATTGCACAAAGTACTGTATAAAATATTATTTAAAAATATAAACCAAATATACTATAGTAATAAATGAAATATTGTAAAATAGGAAATGGTATATCGTTGATTAGAATCTCAAAATGAACAAGAAAATCTAAAAATGCTGATTTACATATTTATGCCAAAAGGTGGGTGCAATCATCAATTATGTAGATCCTGAGTGGTATCAATGAACAGGTCTAGTTTGAGGCACAGACGTGTCATGTTTATGGAACGGTTAATGAATTAAGATTTCGCTTTTTGTCTGGAATGGACACATTTTCATATGTTTATTAAATGTGTTACCTTATTTTATTTTTATAATTTATTACTAAAAAGATTATTTCAAAGAAAATGTATATAAAGGACGGGTTTTCCCACACTTTTGAAAAGTTCAGTTTGAAAATAACTTAAGAATTGAATAAGTTAGAAATTCAGAACTCAATATTAGTAATAAATTATTAATAAAGTCTTCATGACAAATAATAATTTAAACCCTTTGTGATTTCTTAGTGAAAAACCTTTTTGTAATTGCCCTGCTTCATGATCTTGGTATTATTCTTTGTGATTATTATTCTCTTTGTGATCAGAATAGATAATTTGTTAAGCTCTGCTTTGTGTTCTGAGCATTTTTCCTTGTGATAATATTTATTTTGCTTAGTGATCTTAGTAAATATCCCCTTTATTGAAATATCCTTCTTGGTGAATAAGGATAGTTAGTTTATTAGTTAATATTTTGTTAGTATAGTTTATTGTTTAGTTAGTTTTATTATTTAGTATTATAACTTTTAATGATAAGTTATATTTATAAAACCTCACACCTGCCTTGCCTCTTTCAAATAAAAACCTGCAGTCTCTCTTTTATACTTGTCTAATAGTATAATATTTCAACTTTAACACATTGGTATAACTGCTTCATGTTCTTTTATACATTAGTTTCTCTGTTATAAGTTGTTTTGTTATCATGCTTTAGTAAAGATAAACTATGGTCAACAAGGGAAATTGTCAAGGTGCACAACCAAAATGGTTTGATTTGTTTTGTTAATACCTAGGAGCAGAACAAAGACAATAGCACAAGAAGTATATTGTTACTCTGCTTTTCTTCTTTTTATTTTTATTATTATCTTTATAACTATTATTGATTTTATTATATATTATTAGCATTTATATATTATTGTTATTATTTATTTATTAGTCTTATAGTTATCAGTAGATCAATTTCAATATGTGTAATACAAATTCCAATTTATTACTTAAACTAGTTATTATACAAAATTCTTGTAAGTCTGTAGTATGGACATATTGTGGTAACACAAATTAGTAATCAGGTGAAATGTCACAGGGGATAATAATTTGTGGCACTAGATGAATATTCAGAGATGACCATTGTTACTATGAGTTTCCTCTATAGGTGCTGCCCAAATTCAAAATATTAAATCCCAAATCCCAAATCCTAAATTCCAAATTACTAATTGCCAAAATCCCAAATCCCAAATTATACCAAATCCCAAATTCCAAATACTATGAAAACTGAATTTTGACAGCTGAAATGCCAAAATAATTTGAAATTTGGATGACATGTATAGTTTCCTCCACTTTAATAATTTATTATTATTTTATTTTATTTCTTATTTGTATTTATTTTATTAATATAATTATTTAGTATATTTTAATTATTAGTTATAAATAGTATTTATTTATTTATTAGTGTAATACGAATTATGTAAATCAATAATGTAGATCATAGTGGCTCAGTTACTGGCCAAGATTTTAATCAACTTACTGGCCAAATCAAATATTATAAAAAGGGTGAATTTTCTCTTCACCTCAAGACAGATTCAATTAGATTCGAATAATTCTAAATAGTAAAATTTAGAAAGTAATCTCAACTGTAATTAATTTTACTTAAATTAATATTTTTATAATCCTAAAGTAACTGGATTATTGATTTTCTTCATAATAAACTTATATTTTCTATATTAAAACTCTATTATTCTCTATTAATTTATATTCTTCAAATATAAATTCTAATTCATAAATTTCAGTTACTATTTTATAAACCATTGATAAATATATATAACCCTTGTTTAAATTCATTAAATCGACTTTTAAAATTTAACTATTAATTATTCATTTAATTCCTGTGATTATAAATTCTTAAGTTCTTTAATTAGTTTTAGTTTTAATTTAAAATATTTCTTTTCTTCTTCTTCTATTATCTTCTTCAATTTGTCAACTAAAATAACTGTTTACGAGTTGCTAGTTGTAAATTGCCTTTTGAAAAATAAAATTAGCCCAAAAGGTCAACTAGTGACACCATATGAGGATGAAAGATGAAGTACAAAGATGAAGAATGAAAGATGAAGGATAATACACAAAGGATAAAAGATAAAGTACAAAGATGAAGAATGAAGTGTAAACAAAAGAGAAAGTATAAATACAACTGTTGTTGGTTGTAAGTTTCAATAGTTCAAATTGTATCAGCTAGTTAATTAATTATTACTTAGTATAATGAAATATACCAAAATATTTTAATTATTATTAAATAGAAAAGTAAACTTACTTCAGGGATGGTAAAATAGATATCCTAACACATGATAATATTTCTGTTGCTGAATTATACTATACTTTTAAAAACTTTATATTTTATATTTTAATAAACTTATATTTTGTGTCATAATATTACAGAATATTATTAAATATTGTTTGATACTGTGTTAATTGCTTTTACTTCACCTTACTTACTGTGCCTTCATGATTAATTGATTATTATTTGATATTATTTGATTATTATTATTATTTACTATATATTTATTATCTGTTTCAAAATAGGCCAGTTAAATTAATTGTATTACTGTGACCTACGAGCAGATAGAACATATTATTATGTTTGTGTAATGCAAACTTTGAAACTGATTTGAGAAATTATTTGAAATACTCTGCACAGTTGTAAAAATATAATGACATATTCTAAGCATATGTACAGACATAACTTTAAACATAGTTTTAGTCATGAATACAGTCTAAGATTTAGATATAGTTACAGATATAGAATTAGGTCAAAATTATAATATATATAAAGGCTGGAATTTCTTCCAAGTCTCAACAGTGTGTGTATTAGTAAAAGTTTTAGAATTGTAATAAAATCTTCTCTAAAAAGTGTTAATTGTTAATTGATACACTGCCTATTAACAAGTCCTTATATCACTGTTAATAGTTAAATCACCTCTTTTGTAATTGACCATACCATAATTCCTTTACCAAAGCCCTCTCAGTTTAATTAATTGTTAGTTTAAATTATATTTGTGTGATTTTTAAAGTAGTAAATTAGTTTAATAGTCTAGAAAGGTAACAATATAAACAAAATACAATCAGGAGGAAAATAAAAAAAAATTTGACACACCTAGTTATTCAGATTTTTATAAACATTTATGTGAACTTGGAAACATTCTTATACTCTATTAGCATTGCATTGTTAAATACATAAATACTATTTAAAAATATAAACTGATTTTAACCCTGATATAACAAATATACTATAGTAGTTGAAATATTATAAACACGGGAAATAGTATATTGTTGATTAAAATCTCAAAACAAATATGAAAATCTAAAAACGCAAAAAAACTCAAAGCTTTTGATTTAGAATCAAATAAAACTAATGGTTCACATACATGTAGTTATATCATGTGAAACAGAAAAATAATAACTTCAGTTCCATACCATTGTGTTATTCATGTTATTGATGGAGGAATTGATACTTAATAAGGAATTTTTGAAGACTTCAGTGGTATCTCGTATAACTGAGCTCGAGGCCTCAAACTGTAATTGAAAAAGTAATGAACAAGAGTTTGTTTACAACGGAAAATTTGTTAAAAACTTCAGCATGGTATCTCTTAACCTGATTCCAGAACATATCAACATCTTCAAAGTATTTTCGATGACCCTATAACTTAGAGAATTATTCAAATATAATGAAAGATAATATAATATTAATAAGTGACAGTTATTTTAAGCGTTTTAGACCATTTTAGAATACATGAGGAAAGCATTGCTGGAGACAGCTACAACGGTCACGCAGACTACCATAAGGAAAGCAATGCTGGAGAAAATCACAACGGTAATGCAGATCACCATAAGGTTGACAGCACGCAAAACCTCCCGTAGTTAATGGGTTCTTTCCTGCAATAACGATTATAACCCAACATGCAGTACTATAGACAAGACAGTGATGGCAAGCGCGCAGTATTGCTATTAAAGTTTGTTCAGCCTCCCTATGTCGACCAGCAATGCAAAAACGACGATATAATACTTTACCCTACGAATTTCTTCCAATCAACTAGCACCTTTCTTTTTTTCATCTGAGCCATCTTTTATTAGATTCGCAAGATCTTTTTTCAGTTTATGCATCTCTTTCTTAAAGTCTGTTTGTTTAGATCAGTGTTTATAATATTCTAAGAAGCTATAATCTTCTGGTGGTGTTATATTAAAGTAGGTACTTCACGACGTGAGTTTTTTTTCGGTAGTAGACATGGTTAAGAAAAATTGCGAGACACGTAAAAAAAAAAATCCACACGTTACATTATTCTGCAGTATTTACACATGTTAGAAAACACATCATTTACGTTACAAAAAAAATAATGGGTAAACTTTTATTAACTATAGTGATATATATTATATTATTGCTTTATTTAACAGCTAAAATAATGAATAGATAGAATCATGGAGTAGAGAGCTAAGAGGGAGGAATAAAGCATATAAATACCTGCTGGATCCTATATCAGGAAATTTAATTAGGCGTCGATTTACGGAATATCACATGACCTCCAGAAATTTCCACCTGAAAAATTTGATTT